GGGGCGACGACCTCGCTTGCTGTCTTACCCGACATCATCGGACGACGGACGTCAAAGTCGCACCATTTTTCAGCAGCGTCAGACATCACTCGACAGACCCAACAATCGTTGTACCCTCCGGTTCCATTTCCTTTTGTGTCGTCTTTTATTGCGAAGCTGTTCACCATGAAAAACCTCTCGCTCCGACGTCTTGACACTGCACAACTCGCTGACCTTGTCCGGAAGAACCCCGGCATCACCATCCCCTTGGTTGGCGCATCCACGGCAGTATTGATCTGGTGTATCAAGGATTACCAAGATTTTCTGGCTCTCGGTCCCGGAGGTGTGCCATATAACATCTTCGGATGGGCAGCGATAACAATCCTCGTCCGGCCATTCGCTCTCAATGAGAAAGATGCAACTTGGACCGGCGACTACCCGTCCGAAGGCGCCCACCAAGAAATTCTGGGCCTACCGCCCAGAAAAGGCGGGAGAGCAAAGCTATCTGGTATCGCACCCCATCGGCAGATGACCCAGAAAGCTCCGGAATCAATGAAAGCTGTAGGCCGAACCCTTTCCAACACCGAAACTGAATAGTCACATGACCTTGCTGACACAACCTTCGATACTTTTAGCCATTGAAAGAGCTGTTCGACGATATAGTCAAGAAGCACCCCAAAGTCCTCGAAACCAAACGCTCGTTGTATGAGAAGCACCACGATGCCATCTTCGTGCAATCCTCTCTTCTCCTAGACCCTCTCTCCCCAATCCCGCAAACTGCTCGTATCTCACGTGGAGAGATCGGTCACATCCATCACGACGCATCTGTACATCTGTACTTTTCACGTGCCGATGCAAAGATATTGATCGAAAAGAACTGGGCGGAAAGACATAGACTGGCGCGGACGAAGCCGTTTCTGGGAAGGGTGAACATGTTTGGGGTTGCTGGGACATACCTTATGATTTACGGGCCGAGGGATGAAGGGGAGTTGGAGACTATGAGGACGATTCTGAAAAATAGTGTGAAGTTTATGACGGGAATTGAGGACCTGTGAAGGTCTCACTCACTGGGTGAGTAGAGTAATGTTTGATGCATGAGAACAAATCATCATTACAAATCGTAATTGACGTCGAACTTCAGTGAAGTAAGGCCGCAAAGAGATACCCAGCGCAGTAGGGATACTGATTAGACGCAAGATATTTACGTACAGTGGGTTCTGTACTACTCAACTCCACTCGAATTTTCTTCTTGGCACTTCTGGAGATAGGCTCAGACTTCGACTTGTTGCCCTGCCTTGACTGTATTCGCTAGGCAGCCAGACGTCTCCGAATGTGCTGCCTTCCCGCGCTCTGACATCGCCCACAATTTTCCAAAATTTGTCTTTTCATTAATGTGCCGTGTAACTCTGGGGCTTTCTCTGTGATCACTTCAGCTCCAAATTTCTTGTTGCGAATACATGTTTTGGGGCTGTTGTTGTCATACCCCGACGTCGTGCTTTATATCACCAGCGACCCAGCTTTTGAACTGCCCAGCGTCCACGACGTTCAACCAGACTGCGTTCCACTAGCTTCCTGGTGGGAGTTATCATCCTACGCAGTTTGTGTCGAGCAGGGTCTAGGTCAAGCTGAAAGGTGTGGTAAGTTAGAGATAACTTTTTCACGATGTGAAGGATAGTAGGATCTTTCTTTGTTTGCAGTTGGGGGCCTTAGCATGTTCTGGCTTTCAAACAAGCCAGATCTGGAACCCTTTGCGACCTTTTGAGACATCAGTGTTTTCAGAACATTTTAGAAAATTAGATTTTACTTAAAAAAGCGCTTTTCTCTACTCATGTTATCCGGACACTTTCGGTGACATATAGTCTTTAGTGAAGTACAACAGGCTAACTCTACCACTCGACATATGGATATCGTCGCTTGGACTGGATACAAATTTCAGTACTGACTATATCATTGCTGCTGACGAGGAAGGGTCTCAGTTACTGGAGATAAAAGGGCGGTTGAACATCCCATAACCTTCTGTTCTATTCCTTCACCAAAAATATGTTCACTTCCCACTGTTAGATACTGTGAGTATGTCACGTGTGTGATGGGTCAGCGCTCGGCACCAAACCAGTTACATCACCCTTCTCAAGTCTCAGGTTTCCACTCCAATAGTATCAGCAGGCATCACGGAATCTATCCCAAACATCGCGATGTCTCCATCTCCGTCAACACAAGTCGTAGAAAGGCCAGCAACCAATTTCGAACGACAATTATCGAGATTGCCCAGATTGCATGTCGCGCCGAGAGTCTTTACCTGCTTCGCTAAGCTGCCCTTCGAGCTCCGGGTGGAGATATGTAAGTCCAAATCTGTGTCTCTGGCCCGACCGCGCTGCTGTTGTTCGACGCCAAGTCTCGTGGGAGAATGCTGATCTGTGTCTTGTGAGCTAGGGAAGCAAGTCTGCTTTGAGTCTCGCATCATCAAGATGAATTGCTTCGTCAGGAACAAACCTTACGGATTCGCTGATCATCGTGTCGAAGGACAATCGGCAGCTCCATCTGTCCTTCACGTTTGTCGTGAATCTCGTATCCAAGCTCAGAAACATTACGAAGTCTTCGACGATTCCAACCGATGGACCCCACGACAAGCGGAGGATGTCGATGGTACCAGCTTAACGTCGCGAGAATCCCCTGAGACTTTACGACCACTGTACATAAACTTTGAGACCGATCGCTTTGTCCAACCAAATCTCTTGACCAGCATTCCTAATTATATTCCATTTCGATATCCGATCGCGTACAACTTTGGTCCAGATGTCTGTCAAAACATTCGACACCTTCAACTCGAAACCTCCTTTGATGCCCATCAAAACCCTTTCGGAAAGGTCAGCATCAAAACTATCCGATTCCTGCTGGTTGAGATGACGAGGCTTTCGGACATTACTCTGGTGGTAAGGCAAACCTTTGTTCCAACGCCACGGGACTTAATGAAGGGACGTAGCGTGGAGTTCTTCAGCGTTCAGCTGAGTTTTCAGGAGAAGGAGAATTCGGTACTCGAGGACTTACGAAAGGCACTGAATTCTGCAGGTGTGCCCCCGGATAATCTGGAGGGGACCACACTCCGCTCTCGATTCGTTCCCTCTTATGATGAGGACTTGGTTCCGGTATCCGAGGATGGTGCCAAAATTGCAGTCCAGAACGATGTAAAAAGATCTCAGTCTCTCAGATCCTTAGCTTCACATTCGAGGGCCATTGAACCCCAAGGAAGGTGTCGTTCAGGGTGAAAGGCCATTTCGAGCCCGTCGAGTAACTTTGTTTAGGTGATCTTTGTGCTACTTCGCAACCAACTTCATTTTCGGGAATATCTCATTCTAAAAAAGCTCAATGTTGACCCCTCATCCTCTGGACTTAGACCGTGGTGCAAATTAGATCGAGGGTCGATTGGATCATAGCAACACAGCATGAATGTACTGATGTGACTGGGTGCGTTGGCTCGATATCGAGTTCCGCCACAACAAATCTCCTAGGTAATTTAGTGCCAAACCTTAATAAGGACGAGGCCCACCAACCTCTTCGATGCAACATATTTCACCACACGAAAACCTCACCAGTCACAACTCGCGTGAGAAGAAATCCCACATCAAAAGCTTCGTCTCAGCCTCATTTTGATCAACTCATCTCAACCGCAGTCCAGGCATATCATTCTTCACCTCAACGACCGCAAAAATGCGTACAAAAATTACAACTCGGCTTGGTGTTCCTGTACCGCCTGCCCCTCGACACTCGGTGACAGCTCATATGCCGACATGGAAAGATGTCGAAAGTTTCGCTGATAATTCAGCTGCAGCTGTTGCTACATACCAGAATGAATATCCTTTGGGCCAGGCTACAAACTCTTTGGCCGCAGGGACGAGGCCGACCTCCGAGATTTACAAATGTTCCGCGAGGCAGAACGAAAAAAGAAACGGAGAGTGCAGGCAATCTGGACAGACTTTGCCTCCAACCCACTACTTGTCACGCCCGGCCTCGTCAGACTCCGTCAGCTTGCAGACCAGTACGACACTGTTCTCGTTATCGACGATACCGTCGGGAGCTGGGCAAATATCGATTTCATGAGCATGGCTGACATCCTGATAACTTCACTCACGAAGACCTTTAACGGTTATGCTGATGCTATTGCCGGATCTGCAATCCTCAATCCTGTATCGCCCAAATATGCCAAACTCAAACCAATCTACGGCGAATACTACGTGCCAGAGTTGTACATTGATGATGTTGTGGCTATCGAAAAGAACAGCCGCGACTATCTCTCCCGTACCACGAAGCTGAATCACAACGCGAAAACGCTCGCTGAATACCTCCACTCACGCTCCCAAGAAGTGGGGAGTTCCATCGTCGCCGTTCACTACCCAACACTCATTTCCTCAGGGGAACATTACAAGCGATTCATGCGTCCAGTTACAGACGACTTTAGTCCTGGATATGGTTGTCTCCTCAGTGTCGAGTTTAAGGATACCCCTACGGCAGCAGCCTTCTTCGATACCTTAAAATTACACAAAGGTCCACATCTGGGTGCCCCATTCACTCTTGCACTACCATTTACACTGGCTGTTTATTCTAAGGAGTTGGGTTGGGTGGCGCAGTACGGTTTGAAGCTTACAAAAATTCGTGTGTCTGCTGGGTTGGAGGACACGGAGACATTGGTTGAGGACTTTAGACTGGCATTGGAAGTGGCAAATGCTCCGTAGATATTAAGGTTGACCGCATGGACTGATCGATGAACATAACGCTGAGTTGCACCAGTCCGCGTGCACGGGCATACATATCGAGAATAATAGAAATGTCCTACGTCAAAGTGAGCACCGCCAAGCCCGCCAGCCACGCGTCACATGCTGTCTTAAGTACCTTGTTGAATCACAAACAAAGACGGGCATTGAACTATCACTATCATCAAAAGAAATAAGAAAGTCATGGGCACAACAACGGTTGTAAGTACTCAAAAGTTACATCTCTTCAAAGATGAATCAAGTACTAACATAAAAATAGGTATAGTGTAGTGGTTAGCACGTGAGATTCTGAAAAATGGAAGTCATGTTCTGCGGAGAATTCTTGAGAGCCCGGTTCGAGCCCGGGCACGACCTGCAATTTTGATTTTTGGCAGTTAGGATTATTTTTACTTGGCTTCTAGATTGCGGCCCGATGATGAGTCAAGTTCTTTTGACATTCCTCCAGAAGCCAGCATGAGCGCTTATGAAGGCGGTGGGGCGCAATATCGGCATCGATTTGAACACACGAAGCAAATCTATTCGCTAACTACCTGTCTGGTCTTTCTACCGAAACACGCAAAAGTCGCAGAACTACAAAAACAACAATGGTATCATAAACTCCTCCTCAGTAACCAACAGGCTCAGCTCGGCCTTCCGTCTTATCCTTCTGCATCAGAACTCGCGCTCCATTGTCGTTAATAGTATAGTCCGCTGTATTGAAAGCGTCCTTAACGTGAGGGGATCGAAAATCCTCCGCATATCCCTTCTCACCCACAACTCGCGCTCCATTCTCATTAACTGTATACTCCGACCCGTTCAAAGAATCCTTCCCCTCAACAGGTTTGTAATCATCCACCTTAGCAGGCGAAGGAATCATCCCAAACAAGCTGAAGATGTTGTTCATCCGCAGCATCATGCAGGAAAACAGCGTCATGCCCATAACGACGATCTCCTCTCTTGCCGCCTCGCTCGTAGCAGTCTTCTCCCCCAGGAATTCAATATTCCCCACTTTCTTCACACCCCATATATTCGCCGCGAACCTCGCGACAGGCTCCTGGTACTGATCAAGACAGACAAAATCCCATGTCTTGAAATTCGCAGCACTAGTCCACGTCATGGGTACTGGCTCGTTGGTGTCGGAGAAATTGTGGGAAAGGTGCATGTATGCTGTCTTGATGCGACTGGTAGCTGCTAGCTTGACGGGCTTTCCGCGGATCTCACAGTCACAGTTGATGGATATTGGGTGGAGGACGCCGGTGCCGAATATGGTTTGCTCCTCAGTAGCGGATTTGAAGATGAGTTTGGGTTTGATCTTGAGGGTGTGGTAGTCGACGATGTAGAGGGGTCTGGGTGATTGATCGCCTTCGCGTTTCTCCGAGACTAGAGATTCAAATTTGCGCCAGGAGAAGTTGACTTGGAGGATTGGTGGTTGGGAAAATCGTGTAGATGTGATCGAATTTGGTTGCAATTGCTGCTGTGCTGTCTCGGTGGAATCCATGGTGTCTTGGCTCGAAATCTTAAGATCGTTTATTGTTTTTTGATAGGCTATTGTTGAATGCTTTTTTCGGTGCTGTATTCGGTGTTTTGATTGTGTTGTTGATTCGCTTGGCGAGAAGTAGTGCTTGTCAGAGCTTGAATTGAGTGCTTATTTTCTGAGGACCTCCGGGGCTTCCTAGAGATGCAGGATATATATCTTTCGGCCGAGAGGGCTTAGATTCCTCAGCCTTGTGACGGACAGCGGAATGATTCCAAGCAATGTTGCATCATAAGTGTAACCATTGGTTCAAGAAACGACGCTGTTCCCACTCTTTAGAGATCACCCCTTGCTAAACCCTTTTAGGTTGTATGGACCGCTCGCTTAATTCAGCCGCTAGGCGGTGCAAGCATGACTACATCTCCCCCTCCACCACCCAGGCCCACGAATTCCATCTTCACTAACCGCCGTTACTACATTCAGCCCAATGGCCCGCTGCCAGAAAAGAAACAAGCAATTGCTTCGTAAAAGTTAGCGACTCATTTGTTACGACATTATCGTGCGTTGTGCGAGGATTGGGATCTTACGTGAAATCACGGGTCCTTGGCGGTCGTTTGTCAGAAGGCAACGGCTTGGCTGTTGATCCCCCCTGTCGGCTTCGCCGTAAGGCTGATCAGGGGAGAAATATCAGAAGGGTATATACTTCATCAGTCCATTCCATCACTTCCCCACATCCAATTCGAGTTCATCGTAGCGCCACAATGCCCGGAGTTCCGTCAGGTCGAGGATGCGAAGCGTGCCGAAAACAAAAGAAGAAGGTTGGCAACACCGCACCGAACCGATCCGATCAAGCCATTGAGATATGCTAACCACAGCGAAGTGTGACCAAGCGAAACCGGCATGCTCTAGGTGTACCCGGCTCGAAATACCCTGTATTGGGTGCGGACAACGGCGATTCAAGTTTGTGGATGAAACTCAATCAGTAGTTGTATGCAAGCCGAAATCAGCCCGAAGGTCACCTCAGCCTGATGTGCCTCGGTATGAAAGGATATCTTGGTCTCCCAGCAATGAGTCTACAATGATCATGGGGGCTTTCTGTTCTGCACTTCGGATAACAGATGTACGATACGATCTCGGTGTCTATGGGACTTTTATCAAGGACATTCCTAGACGCATTGGTACAAATGCCGCTCTTGATGCGTCAGTGAAAGCGATCACAAGCACGTATTCAGCAGTACACAAGAGGAGTAAAACAGTCGAATCACTCGAGCATTATGTAGATGCGTTGGAGGTGCTGAGGAATACGCTGAATGACCCCATGGAAGCGGGATCTGCAAACACTCTATGCGCCATGTATCTCATGATGGTGTGCCAAGTTAGTTCCCGCGATTCTTGAGAAATCTGCAGGTACAGCACTAATGAATTCATTGCAGGGATGGGTTGGAGACAAAGATGATCGCACGAGCCATGGAGAGGCATTCGCCTACCTTCTCAGCAGAGTACAACCCCAAGACTTTCAGGCCACATTCGAGGACGAACTTCTGATGACATTATGTGTCCCTGTTGTAAGTCAAGCTTTTCTAAGAGCTCTCCTCATTATTTCCTGAGTCTGACACGTTGGATCTTAGATCGTCGAAAGCATTGCAAAGCCACAGCTTCAGTTACATCCGTGGCTTGAAAGGCTAACACAGGCACGAGATGATGCGTGTCCAATGGAAAGCCTGAAGCTGCGAAATATGGCCAAAATCTCGGAGTTTATCTCCAATCCGCAAGGAAATCTGGTAGAAATGCAGTTCATATACGGATCGATGGCTCCAGAACTGGCTAAAATCCGAGCGTTCCTCGCTAAGATCGTGGAAGCCGGCGACATCGATAGGACAGTTCACTCTCGTTATCAGACAGTCTACGGCATCCAGCTATCTTTTGCTATGATTCTAAATGTCTTGCTCCGATCTTTCAGTATCGACAATTTCATGGGAATGCTCGAGGAGTGTACACTTCTGGTGAACGAAACGATTGCCTTGGCGGAGGATGCCAGTCAATACAGACCTCTTGGCTCGAGTGGAGCGCCCACGACTCTTGTATGTGCATGGGCTGCTACCAGCGATATAGCACAGAGGAAGAGGGCAGAACAGCTTATGGATGAATATCAAGCGGATTTTGAGATCGCGAATTGGAAGGAGATTGCTCGATGGATCGAGAAAAAGTTGAATGACGGGTGCCTCAGTCAGTGTCTTCCTGAACTCTCCATGTTTACTACAGAGCTGGAGCTACAGGCTGAGGACCCTATCACTACACCCCAAGAATGTAATGTCATGTAGGGGGTATCATTGTCATGGCGTCTGAGCGAGTAGATTTTCCCCTCTCTGTTTTCGATAGCAACAAGTAATACATAGATGCAAGAAGCAAGCATGGCGGTCCAAAGAACCCAAATCTTCTACTCCAGCGTGTTCGTACACCATGACAGTCTCTTCTTAGCGTGTAAATTAAAGACTGTCTGCCAATCCGCACGTTGTCATTATCTCGCAGTTTCTCCATCAGACTTCTTCATCCGATCACAATATCATATCGTTATGCTATTGTTACATCAACAAAGCCAAGCATCGAGCGCTACATGGCACCATTCTGGTTTGGCTCCAGCAGCGGGGCCGATCACTACTTCTTTAGGTCTGGTGCTTACATATCCAGATCCTCCCGCGATCCCAAGCATCTTCTGGTGTTGCCTGGCCGCAAACCTAACTTTTATCCAGCGGCGCGTACATCGCGGTTTGTCATTCGAGGCGTTCTTCTGTTCTCCTGGGTCCACGAGGCTGAATAGCCAAGGCTCGTAGACTTCGATGATACCAACGAGCACCAATTCTATGGTCAAAATTAGATATGGCCTTGCATTAGAGACGATCTTCATCCCGTTCCTGAAATTGGACGTCATAGAGCAAATTCATGATGAAAAAGTATCGTATGCGCCGCTGTATTCAGGAAATAGATATCGCAAGAGAACCTCATTTTTAATGCAACTCAAGTTCTGTCTTCACAATCAAACACCCCTCTAATTCGAATTTTCATTACAAAGAACATGAAGTTCTCATTTCAAGATGTTGTGATCCTCACATCATTTGCAGGATCCACCCATGCCAACTATCTGGGGCCGCGATTCCCCTCCCCTATTGATCTTACCAGCAACTCAAGCATCGTGACTGCTGGCTGGAAGAATGTATCTGTCGCTCTCGATACATATATTGCAGGAGGACGCTTCAACGCAACAACGCTCCCATTGGACAAGTTGAAGGAGATTACATTCTCAGCTGGCATGTTCTCGATTCATGATCCAGCAGCATCCCAATTGCAATACCATCATATCACGGAGGATGCAAAAGCCTCCCCCGGAACTCATACTTTGGATGGGGACAGTATCTACAGACTTGCTAGTGTCTCCAAGCTCATCACTGTCTTTGCAAGCTTGCTGGCCTTTGATGACGATCACTGGGAGCAACCGATCACCAACTTCATTCCCGGGATTTCAAACTCTTCCTTTAACGACGCCGGAGACGACTCCGTGCTGCGCAGCCAATGGGATAATGTGTCTCTCCGCGCACTTGCTTCTCAGATCTCAGGTCTACCCCGCGACCCCTCGCCCTGGTTCGCGGATATCGCCCTCTATGACCCTGTGACTTCAGCTCCTCCGCCCAGGCCAGAGAAATACGGACTGCCACCCCTCACGCCGGAGGAGGTTGCACCGTATCTTCCATGCCTTTTGACACCAAAATCCGAGGATTGTTCGCCCAGCGAAGTATTTGAAGCGAACCAAGGTCGACCTCCTGCTTTCAAACCCTGGCAGACAACAGCATACGCCAATACCAATTTCATCCTCCTCGGCATCGCACTCGCCAACATCACCGGCAAACCA